CGAAATTTATTAGTAACTCGTTTTTTTACGGGGGAATATACTTACAAAGAAAAGAGGATCGCTATTAAAAATTGGTGGGAGTAGTGGAAGGCTCCAAGATTGATTCATTTTTATTCATATAAATTTTCTTCACAATTTTAAAATAAATGTAGTTTGCTTATATAATTAGAAGAATTCTAACTTTATTCAAATTGCAAATTGTAAATATAATTATAAGAATAAGAATGGAGTAGAGAGCCTACAATCAGAGTGACGCCATAGTTGACCATCAACACCATCTAGTGACAAAAACCGCGGATACTTTTTAGATGACCCAATATATTAAATATCGTAATTATTCATATTATTTGATTTAGACTCACAATGCAATGATATATAATTGAAAAGATTATGACAAAAAGAGAAAGAATTAAATTCGTAACCAATGTGATGACTATACATATACTTAGTGCCAAGACACTACCGTGTCTTCAGATTATCCATGTATTATAATTAATCTGTGTATATTTTATGTTACATTTTTGTTTTAATATTTTAAATACATTATTTATAAAGAATAAATTACTTTATCTCACATACAGATGAATTTTTTTGACGGTCCAATTTTTATGTTTGCCATTTATACTCTTTAACCAATTCATTCGGTGTTCTATGTTTTTTCATAACTATTTTTGGAACTATTTTCATAACATATCCTTTTTTTAATGAATTGTTACAAAACGGTATTGTACATCCAACCATATTTCTAAAATAATTTCGATAATTTTATTTTTATCAATGTACGTTTTTTTATGTATCTATGTCGTTCAATGCTGTTGCATCTAACCCTAAAATTGACAGTCTGTTGGATAGACTGAGACCGTATATCTCTTTCTCTCTCGCAGAATTTCACTAAAATACAATATAATGTCATCTCTCGTGTGGCGCCACTCTGATTATAAGCTCTCTAGGTTGAGGTACTTCATAAATCTAGAGACTTTAGATTCCTTGATCCTTCCATAGTTCACCACTGGCACTGCCACTTCTAGACTTCCATTAACTTCCCACCTAAAACGTGGGTGAGTTTGTGGTCTACTCAGTCTGTTGTCAGATTTCGTTCTTTCTCTTATTGCTTATAATTACTTAATGATCCATGAATTGTAACGATAACACATGAAGTTCTGAAGATGGACAGAGGTATTAGTAAAATACTTGATATATCGTGGAGATTTGGAGGTGAGACAATAGCTGGAATATAAACTGAAACTATTATCGCTTGTCACATTATATTCTTAAGTTATTCATGTCACATTAAACTCTGAACGAATAGTATGTTATAAATACAAATACCTGAATTGTATTAATTTTTTATTAGACCTGTTAAGTAAAAAATAAAAATGTTCTATTTTTTAACTGTTATACGTTGATAATATAAAAATTATATGTATTTCCATTTTAAATCTTACATTCGATTAACTTCAGTAGTAAACAATTAATAAACAAAATAATATGATATAATTTGATATAAATTATACAAATGTTATTTCCAAAATTGTAATCTTATAATAGATTATATATTCTCACAATGTGATGTCAATTTCATTAATGAATAATTATGCTGTACTTTTCAATTCTTTTAGTGACTACAGCAAGTGATTGCGACAATGTTGCAAAGTCATTTCTACAACTTAAGTTATGTCTTGAGAATGATGGTATAGTCAAGAATGTGTTTACTGAAATGACAATAGGACAATTTTACAAATTTCTACATGATTTGGAAAAGGCAAAATGTAATCTTGATTTATTGCTGTAAACAAATATATGCAGATTAAGATATTATATGTAGAGATATAACCTATATTATGATGTACATTTAAAAGCAATTGTTTTTGAAAAAATTTTTTTATATTTTCTTATTATTTTTGTTATTTAAAACAAAAATATTTACTATCTTAAAAATTTTAAAAATATTATAAATCTTAAAAATATTACTATCTTATTAGAAATAAATTAAATTTAAAAATTTAATTTATTTCTAATAAGATAGTAATATTTTGATTAATATTCTTTAAATATCATTCGCCAAGATCCTAATATTATTCGTTTCAATAATTAAAACTTACAATATATCCCAAATAATAAACTGACATTATTTGTTATCATTTTAACATTAAAAGGACATTTAAGATGTCATTTTGATATTAAAACAATAAATAACGATTGCTATGTTTTAGTTTATAATCGCTAGGAAATTATAGTAAACATTAAGTTACATAGGAAATATTACAAATATTATTTGAATTTTTACTTATAAATTTTAATTTATATAAGATGTTGTATGTTTAAGTGCTGAACTCAATTGGAGCTTGAAGAATAAAAATTTTTCTTTATAAAGCAAAATTAAATAATTTACAATTTTTAATTTTAAATAATTTAATTTTTAATTTTAAATAATTTTCTATATTCTAACATTAGAATTATGAATTGTATTTGTAAAGTGCAATCCAATTTTATTCCTTATATTTTTTTTTAATTTTCATCTATCATAGCTGCAGTTTAGTAAAATTTTTATATCTAGTATTTCAAGTTTATAAATTTTTGACATAAAAGAATTTCAAAAATGTTTATAAAAAGGTTGGTAAATGTAACTTCGTTACATTTATACTAGTTTTTATTATTATTGTTCCAATATCGAGTTTTGCAAAATCTCTTTTTTAAACCGGTATAGAAATGAAGTTAATATATGTGTTATGGCCATATTACAAATGTTAATATATATATATAATAAATATATATGTATATAATAAATAATGGTCAGCTAAATATCTAATTCATAACTTTTTTAAAACATAGACAAATATATTCACCGTTTACGTATCATTATGACTAGGTTATAAATATTTTGTTAAAACTTAATCGAAAAATCGGAATTGAAAAGTTAAATAACTCGTACCTTAAGAGATTATTATTCCTCCTTTCTTTAGAAAAATATATACAGACTTCATACATTTATAGCGCTTTTTAATTAATAAATCGTTCTGCACATCATCTTCACATCTTCACATCTGCTTACCCAGTAATAAAAGAAATATATACAATTCATTGTTACAATCTCTTGAAACAATTATATTATCAATATCCGCCCAAATTTTCATGCAGGCTTGGTTGTGAAGACTGTATAATCTGAAAGCAATATATACAAATAAATTTCTCTAATCAAATATGAAAATCTTTCTATTCGTGAAATAATGAATGCACGTATTATCCATAAATACGTATACATTTATAGATGCGATAGGTTTTATAAGTAACAAAATGAATATGTGTCAACAGCAAATACAAAAGTGAGAAACTTTATTTATTCTTCAACAATATACATTTATGGTTAACCATTCCGGCTTTATTTCCCTTAACAAAATCATGTAGTCACAATTAGGAATATTAAGAAGTAATTTAACAATCAAAATACTTTATAGCAATAAATATGTTTTCATATAAAAAAGAAAAAAAAGATTTAACATATTTATGTTTTGTTAACTAATAATAAAAAGTTTGTATTATCAAATGCTTATATACATTATTCATTATAAAATTTGAACATTTCCATACAAGACTATAAAATATTTAAAATATAATCTGTTGAATATTTATTGATGATATACTATTTGGAATGACTTCGGCCCAAATTACTTTATTATTCAATTTTGCTACACATACGTTATATGTATTCTCTATGTGATTTTATAAAAGATAAAAAAATGTGATATATTTAAAAAATTAACTTGGACATAAAGTTCGTCACTTTAATACTGTGTTATAAAATATTACTAAGGATATCATCGAATCAATGAAAATGAGAATGATGAGCCGTATATCAAGAGCATTCCAAGCAATAAATATATCAATAAGCTATCTATAACAGAATAATAACATGACATTTTCAATCTCCTAGCATTTAAAATTCTCGCATTTGAACGAATATGTTAGAGCAGATACCCGTTTGGAAAAATTTGGTCTTGTGAAAAGGTCTTGCAACAGGATTGACAGCTCTAATAATCTTGCATCTAGGAGGAAGCGGACTGAATACAGCACCTCTTTGATTATTAGGCTCTGCTAATGCTAATGCAGGATTTGTTTGTTTGGATAATGAATTTTCTTGTAGTTTCTGTGCTCCTAGTTGCAAGGACTTGCCTCTTTCTGCTTTTTCCTGAATAGATTCTAACACAGGTTGAATAGCACCGAGCAATGGTCGCTTGAATGGTTCTGCAGACCAACATTGTTCCATTAACGTCCAGCATTCCTCGTCAAAATGTGACAATCTTTCAGGCCTAAGTCCTAATGTAAATATATTCGCTTAATACTTCATATAATGTGAATATGTAATAATAAGAAAGACTGAGACAAATAGGAACTTAAATCAGTAAATACTATCATCAGCAAGAATAATGACATACATTCTTTGCTGAATTAAATTAAAAAAGAGAGATTTGCATTATAAATATTAACATGATTTTTGTAAAATATAATACGAAATTGATTTTTTCTTTTCTTCAAAATAAATATATGTTTATAATATTTTGGTTCAATCTTTTCCTCTATATGTAATAAAGTATTACCTTTCCGTACGCTTGTCCATAATTGCTCCTTATTATGAAATTGTTCAAATGCGTATGGTAATCGAACCTTCCCAGCACATATGTACCAAAACAAGATGCCAAAGGCATAGACATCGACACTACTATCGTAATGACCAGACAGGAGTTCTGGTGCCATGTGGATCGGCGTTCCTACGATACTGCCCGACATCATAGCTTCGGTAATACAAAATCCGAGATCAGTTAATTTAGCTCTGTTTTCAATGTCAAGTAAGACATTCTTTAGTTTGATATCACGATGAACCAGACCTTGCGAGTGAAGGTAGCGTATTCCTTCCAACACATCTATTGCTATTTGTATACGTTCAAACCATGAAAGACCAGTATGTATACCACAGTATAAATCACGACTTAATCGATCAGTGATTAAGAGAACTGCAGTGCCCAATCCGAATCCTCCGCCGTACGATTGATCTACAACAGATCCGCGAAGTTTCACTATCCTTTTATGATCTGGTATCGACCTGGTATAATAAACTTCCATTGCGAGATCGTTCCAATGTCTCTCGTCCGGTGGAATAACGGATTTTACTGCGCATGGACCTGGTGCTCCACCCCAACCATCGCAAGCAAATACTACACCATACTGTCCTCTGCCAATCTCTTTGCCATAATGAGGAATGCCAAAGCGAATCGCATCCATCATCGATGTGGACTCCAATGCGAGTTTAGCTAATTTAGGTGCGTGGTACTTTCGTATAGCTATTCTCTGCTCCTCGGTTCTCTCTAGTTTCCCCGAATAATAATTCTCTAGAGATTTCAAGGCAGTCTGGAAAGCATCGTGCGATGATTTTAATTTGTCTCTGAATTGCGTGGAAATTGTCTTTGCCAATCTTGCTGCCGATAAAGAATTCAAGATATCGACAGTAACTTGTCTCCTCCAAGTCGCGTTCAAAGTCGGAGTGGGGGTCCATGGCAGCGGTAAAGATTTGAAGAGCTGTCTCAATCTTTCCAGGAATGAATGCACTAAAGATGGTGACGAATTATGCAATTCCACGTTGTATGCCGCGGAGAGTATTTGCTTTAAGGCATCGCTAGCTAGCAGGCTGCTATCGTGTTCGTAAGTCTTTTCGAGACTTATTAAACAACGTTGAAGAGTCCCAATAAAAGTTTCCCGAAGACAATTGACCGAATTTACGAGCTCCTTTGCGACTTTCTCGCCCAAACGACCTAACACGAATCGTTGAACTTCCGATGTCGCGACGCGAACAGTAACCGTCCACTCTGCTCGTTCACTATTGAATGGAACAGTCTGATATTGGAAAATATCATCGGTAGATTCTAATATATCGTCTTTCATCTCCTGAATAATACATTGTATTAATTCAGTCAATTCCATTTGCTGCTCATTAACAAGCTTCATTAGACTATCATAAAGTTCGTTTTCTTTTTGCTGGGCGTATTGTATCCTTCTAGGAGTGATCTGTATTTTTCGTGCCATGTCAAACGCACTTAAAATAAATTTACGTAGACTGATCGTGTGTATTTCATTCAAATAAGTACTTGCATTAATCAAATAGCTTTGCAAGCAGGCACGCGTAAAATGCAAAACACGGTCCGTTTTTTTGCATGAATCCACTAGATCGCTTGAATTATTATTAACGTACTGCTCGCCGACAAGCCATGTTAATTGATGAACTTCCACAGACTCTTCCATTCCTAGAAATCCTAAACTGCTTAACTGATCCAGCCACGTTAGACCGAGTGAATTCATTTTGTCAATATTAATACTATCATCACTTTTTGACTCTTTAGACACGCTCGACACTTCTATCCGACTTTGCAGGCTATGCTGCTCAGATTCAGTCAATTCTGCATCTGTGCCATCCAGCAAAACGTTAGCTAATGACGATATGAATAAAATTGGATTGTAGGGATAAGTCTCTTTTAAATCTCTCAATTCTTCCAAATTTTCCTCAGTCAACGGTTGTTCTCCAAGAGCATAAAGAAAGATGGGTAAAATTTTCAATAGACCTTTAGCAAGAATTGTTATTACACCATTGTTGGGGACAACAAATATTTGAACACCTTCTTTCAGTACTGCTTGATCCAACTTCACTTCGAGAACTGTAGGACAATTGATATCTTCGTTCATTGACTTTTCTAGGTCTTCGAGAGGAAGTGTGCTCCATGACTTTTCGTTTGCCTTTAACGTTTCGACTACCTCATACTCTAAACCTAATG